TTAGAGGATGTAGCAGGTGCCTAGGACAGTCCTAGGCCTAGACAGCTGCCTGGCTGAGGACTAGTGCGGCTGTGGCATGTGTGACAGGACTTCGAGAGTCAGGTGCAGGGTGTCAGGGAGCCCTGGGGCGGTGCCTGGGGAGGACTAGTCCTGGAGGGTGCCGCTGGGGCCTCCGGGGGCTGGGCGCCATCTGGTCAGAGTGGTGCTGGAAGGAGGCCAGGTGCGTCTCTTTCTCCAGTGCAGTCCTGGTCCCAGCACACCTGGCTCCGTTTCTGGGGGATTCTGTCCACGTCATATCTCCTCTTCCCGCCACGCTCCTTTCCATACTTCCCATAAAACCGGAAGGAATAGTCAAAAAAAAACGGAAATTGTACAAAGAAAATAAACAAGGTTTCTTTTTTGAGTTTCTTTTGTGATGTCATAAATCTTTGGACCCTTGAACATAAAGAAACTAAAGAAAAATGTCCATGTAAGTCTAGGAAAGGAAGTGAAGGCTCAGGAATTACATGCAGGCTTTTTTCAGATTTGTCATAAACTCGTTAATTCAGATCAAGGTTTGAAAACCTGAGGAGAGGCTGGCGGCCTGGAAAGGTATAAAGCGAAGTCGCTTACTGGTGGCTCCCTTGGCCAAATTCCACTGACACGTTTTGTTTGGCTCGCATTTGAAAAATATTGAAATCAGTTTAAAATGTGGGAGTTTTCATTAAAAAATACCCTTGGTTCGCAGCTTTTCTTGAGGAATGGGGAGTGCTAGTGTCACGGCTGTGGCCAGTAGGTGGTTGACCTTGTGAAAGGTGCCCCTGCCAGCACGCCACCCCTGGTCTAGAATGTTCTGGACTGGCACTCAGAGCAGTCACCAGCTGTGCCACTTGGGGTTGGCTCTTCCTGGACCCTTCCCCTGGTCTGCCTGTGCCCCGTAGCCTGTGTGCAAGAGCATCTGCGAACACAAGCAGAGTGGACCCGTAAGAAACGGTTCGCAGTAACAGGCGCCCTTATTCAGGTGGACACGAGGGGAGAGACACTTGCTGACAGCCGTGGACATGGAAGGGAAGTTCCCTGCTGCCTTCTATGGCAGTGTCAACCGTTACTTTCCTTTAAAAAAGTTTTAAAAATGTGTTTTTTAAAATTATTATGATTATTTTACGAGATCCATGCAGTCTATGCAGTGCTTTATGGGGCGTATCCGGCCACAGCCGGCCCACTCCTGGGTGTTTTATGGCAAATTACTCTCAGGTTACCCTCAAATGTCGAAGGCTCGCCTGCCGGCTGAGCTCCCGGGTCACATAGGAAACCCCCGGCCTTGATACAAAACAGCTGCCTCGGTCAGCTGTTCCAAAAAGGAGCATTTTTAGGAGCAGAAAAACGATTTTTGTAGCTGGTGGAGATTTTGAAAAATGTTAAATTACTCTTTCCTTGCCATTAAAGTGTGATTTAATTTAGTAATTAACAAATTGAGTGAATCTAAGGAGTGCTCCGAATGGGAGTTTGTTAAGTGCTTTCTGGCAACACTTACAGGATGTCCTGGGGGGCGGGTATCCTTCAGGGGAGTGGCAGCTCAGAACTCTGCTGACCTCCCTGTCCCTGGGCCTCAGCCCAGCTGGGCTAGGGTCAAGGGGCCAATCCCCACCCCCTCCTCCCTCTCCTCTGGGTCCCTGCTGAGACTAACAACAAAAGGGTCAATTGTCTGAGTCTTCCCCTTGTCTCAGGGGCTCCATGGGCCTCTCTGAATGCCAAAGTGTCTGCATGAGGGGGCACGAATGGGTATACATATGTATATGTGCACATGTGCCGGCGCACGCACGTGCATGCATTTGAGTGTTGAGTATGTGCGTGCATGGATGTGTGCACACATATGCATGCGTATCAATGCATGTGTACTTGCACATGCATATGTGTGAGTGTGGGTGTGTATGCATGCATACATTTGTAGATCGTGCATGTGTGTGTGTATGTGTGTATGTGTACGTGTGAGTGGGTGTGCATGCATGCATACATCTGTAGATTGTGCACATGCATGTGCGCATGCACAAGAGTGTGCACATGTCTGTGTGAATACATTGAGTTGGGTGTAAGTGTGGATACATGTGCATGTGTGTACAGGTGTATGTGTGCGCACAGGCAGCCCTGAGAGTTGCATTTCTGAGTTGTCGATGCTTCTTAGCAGGGCTAGACTGGTGGATGGTGATTCCTCGGGCTGAGGGAGAAGTGCCTCTGGCCCTTGTCTCAGCAGATGACACAGTCTTTATCTGGTACTTGCTGTGGTAAAGAAAACCTCCGAATTTTCTATGTCCCCTGTGTCCTCCAGATAATATGTAGGAGTGAGGAGCAGGCACAGGAGGCTCCTACATAGCTTGCTGGCCTTTGTTGCCTGTTCCAACCGGGGCTTTGGGCGAGGCTCACAGGAACCTCGCTGCACTGTCCCAGCACTGTCTCAGGTCTGTTGAGTTGGATCCAGTGCTTTTTTCTGTATGGGGTTTCAGCCACATCTGCAGAATGTTTGCGAATACTTTGTTCTCGCATCCACCCGTCAGCTGCCTGCTGCTTGGCTCTGGGACCTTCGTGCAGGTTCCAGGCATCTTGTTCCTTGGCATGACTTTGCCAGGCTGGGGTGCACAGAAGCCTGTGATTGCAAGATTCACACTTTCTTTCTTAGTAGAGGTGTCCTTTTAAAAATGCCTGTAAAACATATCTGATTCAGAAGCCGGGAAAAGACCAATAAAAATGTCGAATTGAAATTCGCCTCTGTGAGGGGGTCTATCTCCAAGCCCCTTGTACACAGCATGGCTGCCACTTAACAGCTTACCCCGTGTCTTCCTGGTTCCCCCCACACCCCTCACGCCCATTTACTCCCCTGCTCCAGCAAGGGCTTATAATTCAACTGTGGAAAAGCCACGAATTAAACAGTCCTCCAAAGCTTATCAAAATATTCAGTCGGTAAAATTTAGAACATTTTAAGCCCAGGACACGTGAATTACCTAGCATGCGAGATCTGTAAACTGCTCAGCCTGACCTTTCGCCTGCAGTTTCTGTTTTTATTTCATCCCCCAAATAATTTCCCCCTTGTTCTTCAAATTGTCGATTGTCCCAGAGACATCTTCCTCTGCTGTTTACTGAAGTGGCACAGGAAGTCTCCTCCTGGCTTAGTTGAGACAGATAATCGCACAAATTCAGGTGACTGTGATGTGATATCAGCTTGATTTTATGTATTTTGTGCTTCACTTCGAGATGCCTGCCCTCCTAGACTGATAGCTCGTAGTTGTTGGTCCTGCATGTGGGTGTGTGTAGGATAACAGCAGATGGTTATTCTGGAGCTGAGCCGTCTACACAGGAGCCGGGGGATTCTGCATTTGTCGGGCTGGACAGAGCCATTGCTGGGCTTTCTTACCTCAGCAGTGATTTTATTTCTCCTAACACTTCCCCACCCTTCCACCTCCTCCTGCCTGGGGGCCTCCTATCATCTCACAGCACCCAGAATAGGGCCACAGAAGTCCCTAACCCTCACCTCCATGGAGGTGAAATCAAGGGGATGAGCAATGATACCTTTGGAATTGTTAAGGTGTATCTTTGGTAGATTTTTCACCGGAAATGATATTACTGGTGGTGCTTAGGGCTTTAACTGCTGTGAGTTCCTTAAACAGGTGGGTTAATGACACTTCTATAGTTATGGCTGCAGCTGATCAGTGTTTTTTACACAATGAAATACTTTTAAAGTTCCCAAAACCAATTTAAGAATTAGATTTTGGAATGTGACAGAATTTTCATAAATGGGAGATTGCCTATATGGAGGGGTAGTTATTATTTATAGTTTTTTCCTATCAGGTAGTGTGTATACCTACAGATATGAGCACAAATATAGAAAAATTACTTAATCTTATATTCGCCCTATGAGAAAATAGTCATTTTGCCTGTTTTACAGTTGTAAACACAGAGGCTCTGAGAGTGATTTGCCGACACCCTAACCATCAGGTTGAAATGACTGGCCTGACTCTTCTCTGATCCACTACTGACCCTGCGTGAGCGAGCTGAGGCCCTGACATGGGATTAGACCTTGGTTACCTCTGAGAGGTCTCTGTGCCACCGCCCATGTAAAGGGGACCCACAGGGCCACCCGGCTCCTACTGTGTTGTGCCCAGCAACTGTACACACTTTCTCTTGCTGCCACACGTGGGTCAAAGGCTCAATGACATGCTGGCCTCTCACTTATGGGGTCAATGTGACCCCCCTGGGCAGGCTCTGGCCCAGGCGTCAGTGCCCTGGGGCTGGCGGGGGGGAGTGGCGTTGTCCCAATGAGACCTCAGAAGCAGCACACACGCAGTGTCATTCTGTTGTGCTTTGTCTCAGGGTTGAGAGAGGAAAACAGTGGTCACTGGGGGCTGGGCTGGGGGGCTGGGAGTGTTGGTCAGAGGTACAAACTTCCGGCTACGAGACTAGCAATTTCTGGGGACATAAAGTGCAGCATGGTGCATGGCTAACAACACTGTGTTGTTATAAACTGGAAAGCTGCTGAGAGCAGATCTTAAATGTCTCACCAGGAAAATAAAATAAGGCAGCTCTGTGAGGTGGTGGGTGTGTCAATGTGGTCACACGTGGTCGTCATCTCACAGTGCCTGTGCACACCAGATCGCCAAGTTGTACACTTTGAACATATACAACTTTGTTTGTCAATTATACCTCAATAAGAAATTTTAAAAATTTGCAAAAAGAAAATAAAGGTGGGGGGGAGGGGCAAGCCATGTTTCAGAAGTCTTTCCTGAGGAGAGACACTGTTTAATGCACACAAAACCCTGTTGGCTCTGCTAAGACCCTTCCAGAATGTGCTTATTCTCTGAGAGGTAAGTTGAAAATAAAGATCTATCATTAAAATGTGTAATTTACGAAGCATTAGCAGTAGGGTGTTTTTGGAAACATTTAAAAATCATTGACCAAATTAAGGTAATTTTCTGGTGAATTCAGAATATTTTTGATGTTATTTAATATGTATTTCTCTCTTTCCATTACAGCTTGGGCTGACGATAGCCATTCGCTACAGCCACAGGTAAAGTTAAAAAAATTTTTTTAAAGTGATATCCTTGCCAGTTTATAGCATGAGTCTGCTTGAGTCTACAGGTTTTTGAGCTTCGTTTCGGTGGCTGCTCTACCCATAGCATCAGTGACACAGCAAATAGGCGAAGCTGCTCTAAGTCATTGGCGAGAGTAAGTCGCTATTTGGAGGAGTAAGGTTTCACATACAGGCGGCGGCAGGTGGCACGCTGTTTTGAGAACAGAAAATGTGACGCTCTGGTGCAGAGACATAGAAGTGGGTCGTGTACTGTCCAAGGGCGAGTAGCGAAGTCGGGGTCCTGTGGGGAAGATGGGGCCAGGCAGACAGAGCTGGGAAGCCCAGCCCTCCATGCAGGCCACCCTACACCCTGTCCCTCTCAGGCACAATCGAAAATGGGTGACAGCTCTGAGTTTGGTCTTGCTTCACAGTTCCTGCCTTTGCCTCAGCTGCATCATGTGTATGAAAATTGTTTGTTTCTGTGCTGGTGTCAACCTTTCCCCTTGGCACACACCAAATTGTATTAAGGTGTTGAAGTGAGTGAATAAGATCCAGCCCTAAACCATGTCTCTCCCTTCCTTACACCAACCGTGCTCACAGCCTCCCCAAAGTGCCACCCGCTGGTGACAGGCTTCAACTTACCTCCCTGACTACAGCTTGGGACATCAGGCCTGCTCTCAAGCCACAGACACCTGATTTCAAAACAAGTTTGCCTTCTTAAAATGGTTATAACCAGTTGTGCACAAGGCTTACGTTCCAGTGTGAGCTGTGCAGTGAAGTGGGCGGTCACTGAGACCTTGGACAGCTGCTGTGAGCTGTGTGGTTAGAGCAGGAGGGAACAGGAGTGGATCAGAGCCTGGGGACAAGTGAAGACAAGTGTTCGTGTTGGGCATTTCTGGACCCCCTTGGAGTATAGCTGTTCCGAGATGCTCATGATGGCTTATATGTTGGGGTCCTTAGTGCCTGATGGCTGCTCATGGCAAGGTGCATGCGTCCCTGGTGAGCACAGCCAGACCGCTGCAGCTGACGACATGCACAGGTGCGCACACTAAGGAAGCCCTGGTGGATGGTGGACCCTGGACTCGAATGCTGTCAGGATATTGGGTGTGTCATATTTGTGTGTGTGTGTGTGTGTGTGTGTGTGTGTGTGTGTGTGTGTGGTGGTGGGGAAGCATAGCAAAGTCCTTCATCCTCTGGCCAGGCTACCTCTGTGCCATGTTTCCAGGGCTGTTTGCTCCAGGCCGTCCTGTACATTGTTCTGGCTCTGGGCGTTAAGTTCAGAGTGGGGTGTCATGAACATTTCATAAATGCAGCAAAAACTGAACCAAAATCTAAATAAGTTACAAAGGAAAGTAATGAGATGGAGAAGGAGGAAAGGGAGGGTATCTACTGAGACTCCTTTGTCAGCCTTCTTCACACTCTGCCTCGGGGACTTGGAGACCTTGAGTGGGTGGTGGCTCTGCAAAGCCACTGTTCGCAGGAGGCTGCCTGCAGCATCTGCGTGTCCCCTGAGGAGGAGTCGGGAGACTTTGGGAGCACTGACAGTGATTAGGGAGTGACTGCCATAACACGGGGTGATGTGCAGGCTTGTTTCTGGCCTGGCAGGCCTCTAACAAAGTGTCACGTCCAACTTACACACGTCCGATTTACGCGAGCCAAGGCGAGAGTGCGGTGAGGAGCGTTTGACCCTGCCATGTACCAGCATCTTAAAAGAATGAAGGCAGTATTAGAGGTCGTGTTTTCAAAAAATCACTTCTGACATGTAGGAATTTATACCTAAAGTTTCGGGAAGCACAAAAGTAAATTGCGGGGGCGGGGGTTGGGGGGTGAAAGAAAGCATCTTCTGGGAAACCCCCGGCTTGCAGGAATTGATGACACTTACTAACGTGTCACTGAGAAGCCCCTCACCCTGCGGTCTTTGTCCTATTTCTGGGGTCGGCGAGCACGGGTGGGATCAGCCTTTCCTCTCAAAGGTCTTACAGGTCACTGTGTTGTCTGTGGTGGCTCTTGTGTCATCTGGCCCTGTCACCCACCTCTGTCCTCTTAGAGGAGGAAGATGAAGGGTGAGGTCTCTGGTTGTGTGCCCTCTTTAAAAATTCTGCTGGCTTATTTAGATTAATTGATACCTCTGTCCTTTTGTTGATTATTTCTTTATTGGTAAAATATACCTCACATAAAACTTACCATTTCACCCTTAAAAAAGGTTAAAAAGTGTGCAGTTAGTTCGGTGCTATTAAGTACAGTGGTCTTTCGTATCCCCAGAGGATGGGCTCCAGGACCCCTGTGGACACTGAAACCCATGGGTGCACAGAAGTGGCACATGACCTGTGTCTGCACAGGTGACGGTGGGGCGTGCACATGCCACTTCAGGTGCGTGGGTTCAGCCTAGCACTCGGCATGCGGCAACCTCAAGCTCCGCTTTTTGGAACTTTCTGGAATTTTTTTTTCCCTGAATTTTTTCAATACGCATTGGTTGACTTCACGGGTGTGAAACCCACAGATGCGAGGACTGACTGTGTGCTCAGGCTGTCATGCCACCATCACCACCACCCTCTCCAGAACTTTTTCATCTTCCCAAACCTAAACTCTGTCCCCATAGAACACTCACTTGCCATTTTCCCTTTCTTGGCCCCTGGGACTCCATTCGGCTTTCTGTCTCCATGGCTTCGACTACTCTAAGTACCGCATGTAGGTGGAATCGTACCCTATTTACCCTTTCATGACTGGCTTATATCATTTAGCAGAATGTCCTCAAGGTCCATCCATGTAGCCCGTGTCAGGATCCTCTTCCTTTGAAGGCCGGATAGCACTCCACTGCATGGGGGGACCCCATTCATCTGCTAAGGGACACTTGGGGTGTTTCTTGGCTGCTGTGACTCATGCTGCTGTGAACATGGGTGTTCAAGTGCGTCTTTCAGGTCCTGCTTCCAATTCTTTTGGGTGCACACTCACAGTGGGGTTGCTGGGTCATAAGGTGATTCTATTTTTAGGCTTTTGAGAATCTGCCATACTATTTTCCTGTCGATTGCTTTTTAGATGGGCTGCATCTTATGCCTGTATGGTTCTGGGCCACAAAGGCTCACGGCTGCTCCCGAGAAATGGTTTCCATATCTCTTGTCATGTTGACCCAGAACCCGCATGATGGAATTGGGTCCTCCTGGCATGGAAGAGGAGACCTTGGGAAGCAGGGTTTGGGACTTCAGGTTCCGGTCGCCAGGTCTGTTTCCAGAATTCTGACAGGAGGGCCAGGGCCAAGAGAGATGGAGAAAACCTAGCAGAGTGCTGTTCAGGTGGGGGCGGGGCGAGGAGACCGGAGGAAGCCAGAGCAGCCCCCAGATGACAATATTGGGAGGGGGGTTCACTCATGAAGGGGAACAGACTAGGGAGAGTTAAAGGACATGAGTGTGGGTGGGTGAAGGAAGTCACTGAGATCCTTTAGTGAGCAGGCTGCTACAGACCCATGAGCCCTTGTGTGGCCGGCGGGCCTGGAGGCCTGCAGGAGGCCTGGGCTCGTTTCCGTGTATGTGCACTGGTGTGTCAGCCATCGTGACCACGTTCAGGGGTAAGACCCCCGACCCTGACACGTGCACACCCAACCTCCCCCGCTCCTATGGCAGCCATGGGGGTCAGCCTCTCTCTCTGCCGGACCTGTCTGTGTGTGTGACATCCTGTGGGGTGGGTGCTGAGGGGTCGGGAGTGGAGAATGGCGCTGTCCCATCCCAAGCAGGGAAGAGTGTCTGCTGTGACCAACTGGGCATTTGACAACAGGTCCTGCACACACTTTATTTATCGTCATGGTGTTTTCATTTATTTGTGTAAAGTCAGGTCATTTTCTCAGTGGAAAATTGTCTCTTGCTGTTCATTCCTCACTGTTCGACTTGAGGTTTTCAGGTGGAATCCACATGGTGGTGACAGATGGGTAACCCCAGACGCGCCCTTTGCAGATAACAGCTCTTGGGGCCCCACCGCCCACACAGTGGGGAAATTGTTCCCTCTGCGTGGGTGTTTTGTTTTTTTCTTTTTCTGCAAGATTGAGAGTTTAGATGATCTTCCTACTATCCTAGTGCTGCAGCCTCAAGAAGCCCGATGCCTCCTGGTGGGGACCCCGGCCAGGATGAACCGGGCCCAGAAATGACATGTCGCCTTAGCGCGTGCTTCTCTGACAGTGGAGAGGCCTCGGGAGCTGGCGGCATGGGGTTTTGGCACGTGGCACTTAAACCCGCATTTCTAAGAAAGGCTCATGAAAGCAGGGAATGAGAGCAGCAGACCAGCCCCTGGCAGAATTGTTGTGTTCTATCTTTCTGTTGGTTGTCTCCCTTTGATCAGTGAGGGATGGAAGCAGTTTCCGTGTGGCTCTAGTTCAGTGGGGCCCATGGGGGCTTGACTCTCAGACAGCATTTCCTTCTCACAGCTGACTTCTCTCTGTCAGTACTTAGAGGCCCCAGGGAATGCTGAATTGGGTACCTTGTTCAGGCCTGTGTCCTAAACCTGATGTTGGAATTACAGGTACCGACCCCCTAGAAGTCTCTGCAGTCCCCCCAGGGCTGGCGAGGGGACGGGGCAGTGGAGAGCCACACGTGGTTAGAGGTGGGCTGGGTGTGGCTCAAGGCCTGGTCTTAGGCTTGTCTGAAGTGGGAATGCCTGAACACCCAGGTGTGGTTCCAGGCCTGAGCGGCCACCCCAGACTGCCTGTGCTGCCAGGTTTGAGGGGCCCAGAGGGCTGAGCCCTGCACGAAAGGGCTGTGTGCTTCCGTATTCCGGTTTAGATTAGAAGCGGCATTTAAGGTTCAGAGATGAATTGGAATGCTTAGTGAAGGGACAGGCGGCACCGATGCCCTAGTGGAATTGTCATCTTGAAATCCCAAGGGAGCAAAAGACAAGAAACAGGCCACTGGGTCCATGGGGCCTTGATCCCCAGTGTTGGCAGACACCTCGCGACTCCCATTTGGAGCTGGTTTGATCTTGTGGTGGCAGCTGGGGGAGACCGTGCTCTCCAA